TAAGTAGATGCTGTGGCCAATAGACATCTACATCAACTACATCTATCCTTGGTTAACAATCAAAATGCCTTGTTTTCAATAAAAAGAGTCTCGGGTTCTCTACACTCACCATACGAAACACAAGCAGCAAAAGGTTGTAAATGAAATAATAATAATACATTTATAAATAATAAAAGACTCCGTTTTTGCCATTTTTTTTTGAGAACGTCGTGGTTAGCGTACCGATGTAGGTTTCGATGTTCATAAACAAGTCTAAATTGAATAAAGTGACTTTGACAATAACTTTGACTTTGTCATTCGTTACGGTCGTTACGATTGGTTACGATGCATTTGATACCTACTTATATGTATGTTATCACTCTATGATTTGATATTATGATCCTAAAACCGTCAAAGTCTAATTTTAACTCACTTTTGAATTTGCATGTTAATATGATCAAATGTAGGTAGGTATTTAAAAATTAAATATACTATATTCTTTTTGTTTAATTTTTTTTGGGATTTTTGTCAAAATGACATACCAATCCCATCATACCTTATACTAATTACCTACTGCTAACACTATAACAAAATAAAAATGTATAATTGTGAGTACTAGTTTAATTACTACCCTAAAAAGAAACTTTTACTGTAGAAGAGAAGATAATTATTGCGTCCTAGAAGCTAGCCGGAATAACCCTCTTGACATCTTTGATTTGGGGTTTGATAAAACCATTTGCACTAGATCGACATTCAACATTAATTCCTTATGTCACCGCCAAGGCCGTCTACACTATGACACAAGGAGTAGTGACGAAAAAATCTTACACTTTTTGTCGCCTAGCTCCCATCCGCCAAACCCGTATCGTCTGATAAGGAACTTCTTTCCAATAAGATATGTCTAGACTTCGGCTAGAGAATATTTATATCTTGTTATTTATTTATTCTAACACTATTCCATCTTCGTCCTCGGCATGCCAACGCATTGTTTCGATTCTTAATTGGGGATCGATGTGAATGTATGTGCCACAGCATCCACTTACCATGAGGTGGATTGTGTGCTCGCATGTCACCCTTATTTAAAAAAAAAGGCACTGCTTATAAAATACAAACAATCTAAAACTGACAAATATCTCTGATCACTAGTCAGTGTGTCACGAAAACCAAACAGATTAAAGTTAGTAATATATGACCAAACAGCATCTAATGGACGATGGTAGTTTGATGTATTAAGACGATTTAGAATTTGGAAGAAATATATTACGCAATAGTGAAAGTTGCGAAATGGCGCGCCGCGTCCCACGGCAGGGTTATTTCGAGCCCGCTCGGGTTTCGCCCTACTACGCCACATTACTACAAGTACATTTGCCATACCATCTATGGTATCATTAAAATGATCTGTTACGGAACTGATGCGGAATGTTCTTCTAACATAACATACATTTTAGAGCCATGTTGCAGCTATATCATGGTTGTAGCACGGATGGGTCGGTTAGACTAGCGTAGGACCACGCTCCCAAAGAATATCAGCGTAAAATACTATCTTATTATTATTTGTGCAAGCAACTGTGCAGGTCTAGAAAAACCAGTATCACTGCGACCTGTATGATCTTTTGTGATAAAAAAATGGCAGCTTAATTCTGCTGTATTTCGCATGGTGAGTGCAGAGAACCAGAGACACTTTTTACTGGAAACGAGGCATTTCATTTTAGTCCTCAGAGGTGACTAGATGTTTGTTGTTGGCCACAGTGCACCATAAGGTGGACTGTGTGCTCGTTTGTCACCCTTATTCTTTAAAAAAAATATACCCATTATTGTATCCCGGGAGTGAGTGCGTAAGACGCGACTGCGGTAAATGAAATGGATGGTCAACGTCACCTACTTCACAACACATCAACACAATAAAAACTGCGGTTGCCAAACCACCTGCCAAGGCCTTCCCAATAGATTGCCCTTAGAGGCAACTTATTAGGTAGGCATATTATGTTCAGCGGTGGAAATTGATCGGCTGTGTGAGATTATACTCATAGACATATTTTTAGCATCGCTACGCACACAAAAATACATTACAAATAACATCATAAAATGCACTACAGAATAAAAAATAAATACACCTCAAAAAATAAATAACCTAAATAAAAAGTACCTACGAGTATTTGCACAGAATAAACAATAGTACTACGTACTATTACTATAAACTCTACTCTAATCTATTTACATTAATATTGCTGTTATTATGCTAGACCTACTATCATAATAGCTTTGCGTACCTTCTTCACCAGCCCGTGAAAGTCCAATCTTCGAAATGATGCTTTTTTGTTGTACGGTGGATTTTAATGTATCTACCTATTATTATAGTTGTTGTCCTAGTAATTTTCGATCGATCAAAATTATATTATGATATTAGATTAGATATGATGATATTAGATTTATTAGCTGTGCGAAAGAGTTTAACAGTGGTAGAGCCAGGCGGCAGCTTTTGCTGTCGCACGCATGGGCCGGCTCGAACCGGGGTGGTACCACGACCTCACAGAATACCAGCGTGAAGTAGGGGTTTACCTCTGCGTTTCGCTTGATGAGTGCAGGTGGCCGGAGGCCCTTTTTACTGGAAATGAGGCATTCCATCCTAGTCCTCAAGGGTGACAACGCATCTACATTTTGATTCGCAAACGAGGATAAATGTAGATGTCTATGGGCCACAGCAACCACTTACCATCAGGTGGACTGTGTGCTCGTTTGTCACCCTATCCTATAAAAAAAAAAAGAGTAGATAGTCAAAAGTAGTCGGAGCAAATATATTTACTTGAGTTCTGGGTGCTAATCCCAGCATTTTATACGTGGTAGACTGGTAGAGCCATGCTGCAGCTATATTAATAGTATAGTTGTAGCACGAATGGGTCGGCTCGACCGGGGAGGGACCACGCTCTCACAGAATACCAGCGTAAAAAAGCAGCTTAATGCTGCTGTGTTTCGTATGGTGAGTGTAGAGAACCGGAGACCCATTTTACTGGAAAAGAGGCATTCCTTCTTAGTCCTCACGGCTAACAACTGCATTTTAATTCGCAAAGGAAGATAGATCTGTGTGCACGTTTGTCACCCTTATTTTATAAAAAAAAGCATATCAAAAGTGCGCTGGTGAACATAGGCCTCTTTCAAATATTGTCTCAAAGGGGGAATATTTGCCAAAGTTGCTGCGCTTGCCAGGCTGCTGCCCATCTCCTACGTTAACTTCTCTGTAAGAACTCTCTGTAAGAAATTCTTACTACACCCACGGGACCAAATGGATATTCTTACACATTTATTTCAAACTTATTGTTTTATATAGCAAATCCCACATAGCTTCAATAATCTATGTTTACGAGGCTTAAATTATATATAAATTTCATTCAACCAATACTAACTCGAGTGTATTTAATAAACTTCCGAAACACACGTCTAGCTACGTCACATCAAGAACTTCATCATTGCATAAATATAAATCTTTGACGTCGTTATCAGTAGCCCCAATTTAAATGTAACCAGGAGTACTGACAGATTTCCCAACACAAATACTATGTGTACGTCATGTCAAGTTGCTATATGTCTATTAACGTAAGCTTTGATTCAGTAATATTTTGATATTTTTTAGAGAATATGGATGGGTAAACGAGCACACAGTCCACCCGATGTTAAGTGAAAAAAATACCAAAAAGAATCCTTATATCGCGTACGCTGCGGAAATTATTGACAATAGAGCAAAGTAAAATACTACAGTTTTATACATTGCATCAATACGAGTATCTACAAAAATATTTGCAATATTATATTTCTAACTATTACAGTTGTGTCACAATAACTATTTTTCTATGTTAAAGTATGCAATAGTAACGCCGAAAATTCCTTATATCGCGTATGATGCGGAAACTATTGACAATAGACCAAAGTGACCAAAGTGAGGCCATAAAGATCTACATCAATCCTCGATAAAGAATCAAAATGCACATGCGTTGTCATCTCGGAGGACCAAGATGGAATGCACTCAGCTATTTGTAGACTTACTGAAATAAATTACATTGAATATAAAAATATTTATCATCAACGAAATATATATCATTCTTCTGTCCGTGTGTATGTGACTGAACTCCTCCTAAACGGCTACACCGATTTTGATGAAATTTTGTGTGTGATTAAGTTGATTCGAAAATGATTTAAATTTACAATTGGTGTAGGTAGGTGGCACTGTTATCAAGATCTAGAAATCATCCGTGCAAAGCCGGTGCGAGTCGCTAGTAATATTATATATATTAATATCTACCAAACCTATTATAATGCAAAATATTTAACTGTGACCAAGCGACTTAAAATTGCTGATGCGAATGTTAACTAATTTTCATTTTAATATGTCAATGGTTGTACATAGATAATAAGTTAAAGTTAAAGTTACAGCCTATATACGTCCCACTGCTGGCCACAGGCCTCCTCTCATTTCTGAGAAGGTTTTAGGGCAAGGAAATGTCCGCCGCGCTGCCCCAATGCGTGTTGGCGAACTTCATGTATTCAAAATATTTTTTGATGGTTTGCTTTTCCGGACTAATAAAGAAGAAGAAAGAGTTATTTTAAACAGTATATTATTTGTGTATGGAAAAGTGCAATTATGTTATCTCGTATATCAGTTTACCATTGTCGTAACACCATGGACGATCATATGAGCCGCGGTAGTTCAGGGTCTAAGCGGTCGCCAATAACTTCACAGTACACGAGTAACCCGGATTCGATCCCCGCTGGCTGAAATTGACGGCTCTGTGGCGCAGTGGCTCAGTAATGAGTTGCGGCGCTGAGGGCCGCGAGTTCCTATGCAAAACCGGATGCAAAAACCTGCATGTGTGAGGAATGAAATACTTCCAAGACATGTGAAGTCTGCCAATTGCTCTATAACTCTTTCAGAAATGATTTGGAGGCCCGTGGCCAGTAGTGGGACGTAAGGCTCTTCTGATTTAAAGTTAAAAAGAAGGTGAACTTAACTAGTGGATGTGTTGTTGCAGAAGTGATGCGGCGTGCGGGCAGCGGCCCCGCCAGCCCAGCGCCGCCAGCGCCGCACCAACCCACCCACACACACAGGTTCGATTGCTTTTTATTATATATAAGTATGTTTATAGTGCGATTAAGGTTTTAGCACGAATTGATCTGTTCAACCGCGCAAAGAAATGTATGCTAAAGGTAATGCTGCTGTTTCGTAGAGTAGAGGACCGAAGACTCTTTTACTAGAAACAAAGGCATTCCATCTTATTGCTCAGGAATGACTACGCATTAAAATTTTGATTCTTAATCGAGGACAGATGTAGATGTCTATGGGCTACAACATCCACTTACCACTGTATGGACTGTGTGCTCTTTTGTCACTCTTATTCTATAATAATGTAGTTATATCGGATGAACAGACGCTAGGCCAGTTGCACCCCGTTGTGGTTGTTTTTAACATAAGTACCACGCATTTGAATTTCGAACCAAACTGTTTGCTTCGTTGTTTGTAATGCGTACAGCAATAGTTGAAATATTTGCCATATTGTGGCAATTTTGAATTCAAGGCTAGAGTGAATAGTCTTTTGTTGAGCTTAGTCAGTGCACTTTACCAGCTATCTATTTAGCATTAGGTGAGAATCATGTAGCGACAAGCACGGCCTTACAACTATAGCTTCATCCAGACCGAGATTCGGTCACGGCGGCCACTCTCAACGGAGACTCGTCATACGCGCAGGACAGGGTTATAGTGTCCGAGTGTACACGCAAGCACAAGTGCACTTTCTATTCCCTCACTCTCCTAGCGTTATGGGACGATAATCCGACACGTCCGGAGAGAAGTCAGGCTGGACCCACGGCTTTAAGTGTTTAAGATGCTAGTCGGGTTTGAAACACGACTAGCATCCTGACTCCAGACTGCTACTGAAAATTTGTTCACAGAAAAACTCAATAACTGATTTTGGCTGGATCCAGGATTCGAACCCAGGACCTCATGATCAGTAACCGAGTTTACAGCGACTAGACCAACGAGGTAGTCTTCTAACTATAATAATATAGTGAAAAAAGAAAGTTTTCAATAAAAATAGACGAGTTACTTTGACATTGTTACTTGTTATAAACAAATTACAGAAAAATATGGGTAATATTAATATAAATTTAAATTAATTCCAGGACTTCAGAAAATAAAGAGTTGCTGCGTCAGCAACTTCTGTCTGCGAGCAAGGAGCGCGCGGACAGACAGGAACAAGCCAAACCCAAGCACGTGCGCAGCCGACAGAAGAACCGATGGAAGCTGAAGTTCCACCACCAAGCGCTGCCCCAGGAGTATCTAGACCATTATGAGCAGAGCTTGCAGAAAGCCAACGCTAAACAACAGAAAGCACAAGACAAGAAAACACAAGACAAGCCAAAATCCGAACCCAATATTGATATCAATAATTTCACAAACGAAACTTTCAAAATGTGGGCGCAGCGCCTTGCTGGCATACAGAATGAGACAGGAACACTGACGGTGCCACAAGTGTCATCAGTGCTAAACATGGCCGCGAAACCAAAGGCCGAAGAAAAGAAAAAGAAGAACCCCGCTATCGCTCCTAGCAAAATCATTACGTATGAAGACTTGCCGTACATGGGAGAGATGACGCTGAACAACTCCAAACCTCGACGAGGACGGAAGCCAAAGAAGGCTGACATCTGCCATCTCATATATGAAAACTATGGAACGGTCGTACCAGGTCAACCACCGCCTCAAGAACGACTGAATCAGTTAGGTGTGTGTGCTCCGGTCCGTAATGCAGATACTCCGTTATGCACGCCAAAAACCGATCTTCAGAACAAGATAATCTCAAGCTTATTGGAGCGTAAATTATCTCAAGAAAATAGGCGGCGTCTAGAGAATCAGTCTCCACCGAGGTTTTGTAGTCCAGACGAACCAATGCCTGAGGCACCGGAAACCGCTGCGGGGCCGTTGCATAGCGATGATGAACCGCTCAATCTCTGTATTAGAGATCTCCACGACTTAAAAATACAGATACAAAAGAAATTCGGCAACATTTACTCGTCGCTGCCTGAAGTTAAAATGGAGGCTGACGCGGACAGCTCCGAGCAAGAGCTTAAAGTCGAACAACCAAATGCTATTTCCGTTATCCAAAGGAACACAAATGTCGCTCCAGCGACTGCCAGCAGTTCGCCAGATCTGTCGCGACAGACCAGAACTGTTTCACCAGCACTGTCAGAGCCCGCGCAATCTACAGTCGGTCCAGATGGCGACGAGAAGATTCCGGGATACGTTTACTGGCCGAACGCAGGGATTTACATGCATCCGTTAGCTCTACAGACACAGCTTCTTTACTACCAGAGGCTAGCAGCCGCGGGCCAGCTGCCAATGTCGCAAGAAGAAAGAGAAAAAGTACCCTCCAGTAGCAGCGAGAGTACTCCGACAGAGCCAAGTTCTCCTGACGGAAAGAAGAAACTTGTTCTCAAACAGATATCTGAATTATTAGATCCTAAAGTGATCAAGCAAGTAGAGGAAGCAAAGAGTCCGGACAGTACAAAAATGAAACGGACCTCGCCAAACCCTGTACAGGGTCCAGTGAAAAGAAAACGATCAGCAATTTTTATCCCCCCGATGCCTACAAAGAGTAACTCGACAAATCCAACAACGGAAGTCAGTATATGCAAGTTTAAATTCACCGGCGGATCAAAACCTTCACTACAAGAAAAGAAGATGCTATCGGTGGACTCTGGAGGCAACTTTAGATACTACAGCGGTACCGGTAATAAAGGCAACAAGAGTTATGAAAGTGTGCCAAAGGATTCAAGTAATAGAAGTGAATCTTCCACAGAAACGTCCACTTCTATGAAAATGGACGGACAAAGTTCTACTTCTATGGGCAAGGACGATCTGAACAAAAAGAAGAGGAAGTCTCGAAAGACCTTACAGAGGGAGAAGTTGGAGCAGACGTTTAAAGAGAAAGGATTTCTAATACAGACGCAGCAACTGCAGTCGGCTGAAGGGGCCACTTATTGTAAGTTTAGACAACTGAGGAAATTTACGCGGTACCTGTTCAGGAGTTGGAAGGATTACCTTCCTGGAGAATTGGATGAGAGACCGAACGAAGAAAATTCTGTAGAACAACAAGTTAAACCAAATGGTGCAACGGAATGGAGGTGAAAGTTTTGTCAGTGAATAGACTAATTATTAGACATTTAGTGAAACCTAGCCTTAAAGTTTGGTAGTGTGGTTTAGTAATGAGAGAAAGATGGAAGGGAACTTTCCTTGTTTGTGGTCCTTACGAACCCACCAACCAAAGAAAAACTATTTTAGGCCACCGAGGTGGTTTTTAAATGCATTTATAATATAATGTACACAAATAGTAATCGTAACTTGTCGTTTCTTAAAAATTACATCCGTCCATAACGAAGTTTGAATCCATCGACTTTTGAATTGTTTCTGGTGAAGTAGTGTTAAGTCCCTAACGTTAGAGTAACGATTATTGCATTACCCTGATGCTGGCTCAACACAGCCCTGGTGACTTGTAATATAGTCTCTTACAAAGTTAGGCACTTTTAATTCATAGCAATATGATTACACATCGTGAAGAATAATTAGATTTAACAGAATTATTTATTGTGCCACAATTTGATTGTACACAGCTTAAATAAATATACAAATGTGCGGGGTACTGGTGTCCAAACTAGGTACAAACCTGTGTTATGGATCACCAGATTCCTTTATTCATTCATTCATACATATCGTCCAACCTACTAAGTATGACCACAATTGCAAAGTCTCACAAATCGACCCTCTAAACATCAGAGTCTTATGTCGATGTATTTAACGTCTGCTTTTACTACTAAGATTATTGTTCATGGTACAAAAGCTCGGTTTATGGTCGATCTACACGTATCAGTGCAGGGTCAGGAACGAGGAAGGACCGTATTTATTGCATTAGAGGCTTAAATTATATTTTAAATGAACTTGTTCACACACGTCAGTGTCAATGCCAGCGCAGGAACTTTGAAGTCACGGCTCTGCCACGTCGACTCACACTGCACTAATGTGTGTGGATCCACGTGGGTAATTGGTAGGCGCCAGGAGCTTTAGCTTTGAATGGTTGAGCGATTGTGTCGTGCCAGCATAAGTTTCTAATGGATATTGAGTAACGTATCTAAACTGAGCCCAAAGTACTTACTTGTACTGTATAAAAGGCGATTGTAACAATTAATGCTATATTCATTTATAATGCCAGCATTTGTTTATTTATCAATGCAATATATTGTGTAAAAAATTAGGTAGAGTTCATCTAATTTAAAATATAGTTGTATAGTTGGAAGATTTTATCACTTTGGTCATATCAAATAGGTATAGTGAAATGCTACTGAATTTTCTAGACATGTCATCGAAAGGAAATATTAACAACATTAGTCTGTTGGTAACTATTTGTGTTATAAAGATGTTTTTCATATTAATCCCGGTCATTGTTAAAAACAATGGAAGTCGGCTGGTATAAATATGAATAAGTACAAGCTAATTTATTGCAATTAAGTTTTTTTTCCGTAACATATTAACAATTTTTTTCTAAAGTGTATTGTTGTTATGAATGTGTCCAATACAAATGAAGTCTTTGATTTGAAACGTCGACGAATTAATATTGAAAATGGTATGTATCTAAAAGTAGCACACACAAATAAACTACCACTACGATTCGGAAAAATACATAGCTTAATGTCTACGGCACGTGTTTCGCCCCATAATGAGGCATTATGATATAAATGTCAGAGGGTGCCGTGAGAAGAAAGTGTACTCGACTTTTGCCCATCTTTTCTTCCACAGAACATATTATGACGTTCTTTTCTACATACTATAAAAGTATAACTTTACTGTTACGGTATTAAAGGAAACATGTTGAAGACTAATCTTACGGATTATATCAAATTAAAATTCGAAATAAAACTAAATAAAATCAATATGAAATATTATTCGTGTAAATATAAATTATAATTATGGTTGCATTTTGTTAATTATTTATTGTATATATTACAGTTAACTAAGTTTTTATGAGTGATAAAAAGAGTTTAATAGTATCTGATTAATAATGGTCAATTATTATTAATGTTGTTGAAAAGTGTGGAGCCTTATTGTTTTATATTTGTTAAATAGATATCTATGGAAAATTCCAGAAAGTTTTTATTGTTTTCCAAAGATAGCGGAATAATCATCTTGTTTAAGCCATGTTAGTAATAAGTAGAAGCTACAAAGTTTCGAGACGCGTGGTGCTGCAATCGGCAATACTGTCTACCAAACGTGACGATAGTGGTAAATATTACAACGTTGTACGTGGTATAGCACGAATGGGTCGGCTCAATCTGGGAAGGACCACGCTGTCACAGAATACCAGCGTAAAATAGCAGCTTAACGCTGCTGTGTTTCGTATGGTGAGTGTAGAGAACTGGAGATCCTATTTACTGGATACGAGGCATTCCATCTTAGTCCGGATTGGTGACAACACATCTGCGTTTTGATTCTTAATCTAGGATAAATATAGATGGCCACAGCATCCACTTACCATCATTTACTACGTGCTAGTTTGTCACCCTTATTCTATTAAAAAAAAAACTGGAATGGCACATAGATTTACTAGAAATATATAACGTCTTGCCTCAGACCGAACTGATACAAAAGGCTTAATTGTTGTGTAAATGTGTTTAATATAATTTGTTTTGTTAAGTTATTGTAAGTTCAAAATAGTTTAGTTTACAAGTGTACATCACTGCGAGTTATTCTAGTCATTATTAAAGTTAACATGTTGTTGTTATTAACTTGTACAGATGTTTAATATCAATTATTGTTTTAATTATTTAAATAAAACTCTTTTTGTATTTAATAAACTTTATTATATAATAAAAAAAATCATGATTCTGTGATTTCAATAAGCAAAATGCAATACAACAGGAATGTAAAGTGCCAATAAAAATGTTAACCAAATTAATGACTGCAATTATTTAACAAATGAAATAACGCAAGTTTGTAAACAATGTTACAAATTTTATAAAATCATTCTTCAATAATAGCATAAAAAGATAAAACATTGTGTAAACAATATAAAACTGTAGGCGGACTTTTAGTATGGAATCAAACACAAGTATAAGGTTGAGAAAGTATCTATTGTAGCCCACCATTGTGCTGTTAAAAAAACCCCTCCAAAAGCCGTGTTCAATATTGCAGAAGAAAATCAGCAAAAGTGTGCGCTACTCCCAACAACCACCTAATCTATATATTTATATTCAAAATATCCTTACATACTAATAGTGTTAAAAATATTTCAAAACCTTGTGCAGTAACAATTTTAAGGCACTTTTAACAAACATTGTATAGAGAATACAAAAATTTCAACTGCATCAATAAAAATGTATAAAAACAACCATCAGTTACTTCCATAGGATATTGGTCCATGACCCCAACGAGAAGACATGTAACATTCACTTAAACACTACAAGATAATTGTATCTTCAATTTATTCAAACATTTGGAATGTGAGATACTCAGAATGGGAATGTTTCTTTTATGATTTGGTTTTGAATTGACAATTACACTTGTGACATATTCAACTAATATTCCTTCCTATTAATAAATTATAAATTAAAACTGTTTACATATAAAACCTTTCACGTAAAAGTTTTACTTTGAATGGAGATTTTTTGGAAGACTGAAAACCTTATTCTTATGTAGTTTATCGTTGTTCAGGCGAAGTCATGAAGGAAAAGTTCTAAGCATTGAGCAGAGTTTTGGCAGCAGCTGTGATGTGAGGTGCAGAGAGACCAAACATGTCTAGGAGAGCCGTTGGTGGTCCAGAGCGGGGCACTCCGCGGACAAAGATGTGCTTCACTATCACATCCCTTTCCATCGCCAACGCTGACATCACTGCCTCACCTAATCCACCTGTGGAAATTCGTTAATGTACCATAAATATGAGCAGTTCCTAATAAGTAACAGTCTATAGCCCAAAGCGTGGTCCAGGTCCCTTCTCATGTCTGAGAGGATTTTAGGGCAGAAAAGTCCAAAACGCTACCCATATGCATGTTTTTTATGGAATAAAGGTCGTTTCTCACTTTTTTGCACACTGTGCACTTCATGGTAAATGGATCCTATGACCCATAGACAACTACATCTACATCTATCCTCGATTAAAAATCAAAATGCAGTTGCGTTGTCACCCCTATTACTGTGTTGATAAATTTCAATTCTACGAAATATTGAGTTACACTGAGATGCCTGTTTCACTGTCGAGTACATAGCAAATATCATAACATAAAACGTACAGTTTTATGTTATGATATTTACTATGATAGATCAGTTAGTTACATCAGTGATATTATTTATTATTTTGTATGTGCTAGAGCCATGCTGTAGCTACTACTCGTAGCTCGTAGTATCATGATTGTAGCACGAATGGTTCGGCTCGACCGAGGAAGGACCACGCTCTCACAGAATACCGGACAAACTTTGTTGTACTGGAAACGAGGCATTACATTTTAGTCCTCAGGGGTGACAATGCATCTGCATTTTGATTCTTGATTGAGGATAGACGTAAACGTATATGGGCCACGGCATCCACTTACCATTAGGTGGACTGTGTACTTGGTTATCACTAGTCACCCATATCCTTAAAAAAATCAAGTCATTCTACTTCTAGGATATATAATAAATGCTATGCCTACTTTATTGGCAATTATTCGTAGCTTATTAAATCTATTTTAATTAAGGAACAATAAACAGGTACCGCGTAGTGGCGGTGCAACAATATCCACTACCCCGTATCGTCCCGTGGGTGTCGGAAGAGGAGACAGTGGGGAACAAACCAGGAGATGCAGCAGCAGCACCCTAATACAAACCAAAAAAACTGCCTACTTTCTTACCGGATCATAGCAATGGATTCATTGCATAGATAGGTTATGGAGTAGTTACAACATAGACAGACTCCCTAAAGATAAAAGAAACCCACCACCCAATAAAACCTAGTATACAATTGAGACAAAATAAAAATAAGATAATTTAAAATTAAACAATTTGTACAACTGATTTCAATATAAATTATTAAGAATAATTCAAAAACTATTAGTCAGACCTTTGATCAACAATAGCCTGAACAGCCTGAAACTTTCTACATCGTAGAATCACATAATAAAGTTGTAAATACTTGGCATGTACGAGTGCTACTGCCCACATCGGCCGACAGCGGCCGCGTGAGTACGACAAACGAACTTCATGTCGCATCACATTACTCGAATGCACTATTCAAATGCATTCGATTCACACAATTTGATGCTTTTTGAAAGGCAAAGATATTCTTCTATGTGGCATCTTTACTACTTAAGTCTGCGTAAGTTCATTCAAGCGTGGTAACTATGGCAAATATTCCTCGTATTACGCAATTTACTGTATAGTTGCAGTGTAAGAATATCCACTACCTCAAATCATCCTGTGGGTGTCGGAAACAAATCAGGAGATGAGTAGCAGCGTCTTCCTAATAACGACTAAAAATAAAATAAAAATTACTGATGCCAACCAGCTTGCCTAGCATGGCAACTATGGTAAATATCCCCCTATAATATATGGGGGAGGCTTACGTTCAGCAGTGGACTTTAATAGGCTGTAACGATATCGTTAATGGTAATTAAAAATAACTAGCAAATACTGACCAGCTTGGTAGTGATCCTCAACGACCAATACTCTTCCCCCAACAGCCTTAGCGTGTTTCAGTACAGCGGCCTCATCCAAAGGCTTCACTGTGAACGGGTCCATCACTCGAGCCTCGATACCTGTACAAGTTTTTTTAATTAGTATTTTTTAAACACGTTACCCCCACATAGTGTGGGGGGCTTTTCACCTGTATCGTGGAGGCAGTTTACAACTACAAATTGCATAATAACAAACATCCAGACCCGGAACAGTTATTTGTAGGCCATACAAATATGTAGTTTCGTGCGGGATTCGTATCCGCGGCCTTAAACTGGCACTGCCCAAGGAGACATGAAAGTTTTTTTTTTACTTATTATAAGCCAGTGCTTGACCACAATTCCACATGGTGGTAAGTGGTGATGCAGCCTTAGATGGTAAATAGTTAAAAGTAATATAATTTTTTATAGATTATCCATCATAATTGTTAAAATTTAAATATTCGGTTACATTATTGCGGGGTCTCGGGTTCGAATCCCGCACTAAACAAGTTGGTATGGCCTATACATAATTAAAGATAAGTCAGCCACTGTAAAGCATATTTCATCGGAAGATGCCTCGTTTAGAGGCGAAACACGTGCCGTCGTATTATCATCGATGGTCTTTCTTAGTGTAGTGGTGAGGGGAGTAGTGGTGTTGGGAGTAGTGGTGTTGGGAGTAGTGGTGTTGGGAGTAGTGGTGTTGGGAGTAGTGGTGTTGGGAGTAGTGGTGAGGAGATAGGGCACACAATTGAAGGGCAGGAGGTGCTCTATAAAGTAGGTAAGACATATTTTTTTTAATCTATCGTAACGGATTAATTTTTAACATCTTTAATATAATGGACTTTTGTACAGTAACGTCTGATTATATTCAATATCTATAAATAATTGTTTTATGTGGTATATAAAAGGCACAAGTAGTACACAAGTCACAAAGAGAAGCAACGAAATGTATAGTATACGCGCACGCATACATATGTCATGACGTTTGTTGTCACGGCATAAAAGTCGATTTTATTGTCAATGTGTGTCAATCAATACATGTTTCACATCAAAAACATGCCTGGATTGATTGATTACAATAGAATAGATTAGATTTTTTTATTCAATATAGATATTATATGAGTACTTCTTGAGTCAATTTACTATATCATATTTTATACAATTAGTATGAAAACATATAGGAACATTATGGTAGCGATTACTTCATTCTCAGGGGTTATTATCAATCATGTATTCTTTAGCAGTATAATAACTTTTAATAAACAATTTTGGTTAATAAAAATGCTTAAACCTTTTGATAGGTAAATAAAGACAGATTTCTTTACGAAATATGAAATACATTGGGGGTGAGGTTGAGGTGGTCACCTTCCTGGTGCAGCGCGGCGGCGGCGGCGAGCGCCTCGTGCAGCGTGACGCCGGCGCCCAGCAACAGCACGCGGTCCGCACCACTCTGACGCACTATCTTCGCCTGACCCACCTGATTGTCATGTAAAATCAAACTTTAAAAAATACTTCATCATTCCCAGTTATTTAAAGCTTCTACGTACGTTACAATTTACCACTAATACATCCACACTCCAGCATACAGCTCTATATATCATTTCATAGGATTTTTCTTATTTTTAACAAACTTCAAAAAGGAGTAGGTACTCAATTCAATTGTATTTTTTTAAGTGTGTTACCTCAGAACTTTTTTTAGGTTGAACCAATTTTGATCATTCATTCTTTATTTGAAAGCCAATGCTTCTCATGTGGTCCTATATAAATTTGATCAAGATCTGACCAGTAGTTTTTGAGTTATCTTTAATAATACGTATGTAATGACTTCAACTTCATTGATGATGCTCTCATTTTATTTATATTGAAGTCGGTTGTACAAAATTTTTAATTTTACCACTTGTCTTACATGATTTTAAATTACTTTTTAATTTGAATAGCATAAGGCCTGAGATGATAAATAAAACTTAAACATGGCAAAGCCACACTGCAGCTAAATAAAGCTGCAATACTGGTCAACCCATAGATTTAGTATATACTTAGATTGGCAATGTAAAAGAGAAAGGACATAGCATCATTGAGATAAGATGTTACTACGTAACTAGAGTCGCTACTACCAACAAGCACTGCGTTGTACAAAACATTGGTGCACGCTCCTCAATGGGCCTTATTCGCTGTTTAGTGAGAGACCGAGATAGACGGTGCAGAGATTACGTAAATAATTAATTATGCCGTATTGCATACTTAGATACTGTAAAAATAGTTCTAGAAATTCATCAAAATCTGAAGGAGTAACATTTCATAGGTAAGTAATATATTATTAGGTGAAATTCGTATAATTTAGGTAAATTTTCTGTGATTTGAAAGAATTAAACAAATCATAATTGCTTGCTCGCTTGCACGCGCTGCTATTACGTAAGAGCGAGAGAGATAAAAAAGAACGAGCATGGATTAAAGCTCCTATGGCACACAAGCGACAACTCTTTTATAATTAAGTCATAACCTATATTAATATTGTCCTTTTTCTTTTATAATTTCTATTATAGTATTTACTATTTTATTGTAAAAACTCTTCTCTAAATTTTATAACGCAATAAAAAAAGAACGTAAAATAAACATTCTACTATAATAATGTTTTATTTGAATGTAATTTTTTTTTCTATATTTGATGTATCAATGTATCTTTAAGGATTCCACGTGTTTAAGATTTTTCATTTTATTTTATTTTTTAATGGGTTAAGTATACATATTTAGCATTCATTATTTTGTGGGTGGATGATGAAAAAATGAATAAAAATACTTTTCAATACTTTGTTGTTTAATTTAACATTATGTAAGTAATGTAAATGTATAATATCTAGGGATGTGAAAAAATAATCGATTTTCATATTAATCGATTATTTTTTTCTTATAATCGATTTTTCGAAGTAGATTTTTTTATAATAAAAATCGATTTTTAATAAATCGATTTTTATGTAAATTACGCGTTTCAATCGATTTTTGTAATCAGAGTCATCTGTGCGATGGATGTAAAAACGTGAAGTAAGTTCAATAACATGAATAAGTCAATCAAAAGACGGCGCCACCTTTATGTATCTCTATGTATGTAAAACAGTTTCGCTTTTCGTATGTTTTCAACAGGTTTCTTCCTCCGCTAGGAGTAAAAGTATTCTGTGGTTTTCTTTCTTTCTTTGGTTAGTGTAAACAATTATATATAATCAATAAAAATGTCTTGTGAAACGCGTAAAAGTGACTGATAGAAGTATTTTATAATGAAAAAATGATAGCGGCCAACACGTCAATAGGCAAAAATACTGAATTGGATCTATATATTTCGGCCGCACTATCAAATCTCAAGGCAGATGCCCTCAATATATAGAGAAGCTCTGAAGGAACTTTCCCTAAACTAACCGAATTGGCTTTTAAACACCCCTCAGTGATGGCCAGTTCCGCGCCAGCCGAAAGATTATTTTTGAAAGCGGGAAATATTGTCAGCAAAAAACGAAACCGTATTTTGGGAAAGAGACGAAGAAGAATTTTCGTGAAATGATTGTTTTTAAAGTCTTTAACTGAAAATTCATGGCAATATTATTTTTTTACTTTTTTTGTTTACACAAGTTTAAAAAAAGATTTGTCTTGTATTTTAGTTTTGAGATCAAAAGGTTGTCGTCGGATTATTTATAATACTTTCTACGTTTCTACGTGGTAGAGCCATGCTGCAGCTATATTAGTAGTATAGTTGTAGCACGATGGGTCGGTTCGACCGGGGAAGTACCACGCTCTCACAGAAAACCAGCGTAAAATAGCAGCTTAACGCTGCTGTGTTTCGTATGGTGAGTGTAGAGAACCGGAGACCCTTTTTACTGGCAAAGAGGCATTCCATCTTAGTCCTCACGGGTGACAACGCATCTGCATCTTGAGTCTTTATTGAAGATAGATGTAGATGTCTATGGGTTACAGTAACCACTTACCATCAGGTGGACTGTGTGTGCTCGTTTGTCACCCTATCCTATAAAAAAAAAAAAAAAAATTATATTTTTATTTTATTTTCATTCTAACTCAATGTAAATGATACTGAACATTAGTGGCATAATGATATTTAGACTTTTTGTTTGTTGAAACTTAGTTTAAAAAAAACTATCGTTTACTAAAATTATGGTTTCTTAATGATTTCTTATATTTACGCGAAGACTACACATTAAATGAAATTAATTTTTACGTATTTGATCACGCTTAATTTAACTTTTTAATTCCTGACGTTTCGGGTGCTTCACAGCACCCATGGTCACGGGGGGAACTGAGGTCTTTGACGTCCAGATGTCATAGTTAGACTGGCTCAATTCAGTTTTTGAATATTAATTTTTGGTCCGATCTACGCAGAATGAGCTTACAGTATCTTGAAGTGTTACTGTGGTATGCTTGGGTTTGGATTTAATTTTATTAATTATAGGATGCCAAGCAGATGGCAGCACCCATCCATCTTCTCTATTGAAATTAGGATGTTTTTTAATTTCGATAGCCTCGCGAATCATCTTTGGTAGTAATCGGTGTTCTTTTGCGAGCATTTGTGGTTCAACTATGACATAGGGACGTCAAACACCTCAGTCCCCTCTGTGACCATGCGTGCTGTAAAGCACCTGAAATGTCGGGAATTAAAAAGTTAAATTAAATGCGATGAAATCCGTAAAACTTAGTTTAATTTATCGTTTCTGTTTAGTTTGGTTGTAATAAATTGTTAAATGGCACTGAACATTTGTGGCAGTAATTATTTTTAGTTTTTTATTGTTCAAAGTTATATGTTAAAAAAATTGTTCTGTAGTTTATTTCTAAAGCCAGAAGATTATTTTACGAATAAAATTTGTTTTCGCAAAAATCGATTATTTTTTTATAAAAAAAATCGATTTTTCTTAAATCGATTATTATCAGAAAGCAAAAAATCGATTTTTAATTAATCGATTTTTTTCTCTCAATGTCACATCCGTAATAATATCACATCTATTTTATTAATCTATGACCGACGTCATCGAGACGCGTGGTGGGGTGTAATCGGGACCCGAATTTACTGGGAAGCGGCGACTCTAGTTACGTAGTAACATATTATCTCAATGCATAGCATATGCTTACGTTAGAACTAGATAGAATGGCTAGACCATACACGTACACGCTATCAGCCTGTATCAGCCTGACGTCAATGGTTAACGAAACAAATCCGGCTTATTTTCGCGATATTTTTTATTTTAAAGTATTAATAAGTATTTAAAAGTTGTGATTAAGTATGGTGACGTGTGCCGTACCTGAATACAGTTCATCCAGAAACGAAAATCCACAAAATTATACATTTCACATGTAAGTACAATTAAAATGTTTAGCACTCTAACTTCACTATTTCACAACTAGTACAAATGTTTTATACACAAATGGACAGGGAAAAATATCGCATTTTATTACGATAATAATCTAAATGCATGAGAATTATATTAAAAATAATAACAAATACGTGAATTCCCGCTATTTCTGATCAAATTTTTGTAGGGATTGACACTATCAATATCATATTATCGATAATATGTTTATAACAGGCAAAGGCATATCCTTGGATACAGCCTCTTGTGACTTCGTAATTTTTTTTAATTTTCTATTTTTAATTTTTAGTTTTTCGTAAAAGTAAATACTTACACATTATAGTAAATACTTTAATGAGATGATTTAAACTCTTATTGTGTACTGTTACAGACTTCCAAAAATAATGACGTTAAACAAAAATGGTTAAAGATGATAAATAGAGAAGAATGGGTTCCCAAAAAAATTCAACTATATGTAGCAAGCACTTTGAACAAAAATGTTTTTCTCATAGAAGTGCACAAAGAGTAAAGCTGCGCTCTGGATCAATACCCACATTATTTATGCCCGTGCGTAGTTTTTTAATTACTTATATATTTTACTGTACATATCGTAATTTCGTTTGCGCATGTTTAAATGTGTACAACTTGTTGTTGTCATTCTCGTGATGTATATTTTTTTATAAAGAAACTTACAGTATCACTTGATGGTAAATGGCTACTGCAGTACATGGTCACCTACAGTCATCTTCAAATAAAGAAAGCTACAAATGTGTTTTCACCCCTGAGGACTAACATAAAATGTCTTGTAGCCTATAACTATACAGGCTCTCTATACTAAACAGGCCGAAACGCGGCAGTGCATTGCTGTCTATTTCTAATTTGTTGTGTTGTTAATTTGTGTAACATCATGATTGTAAGCTGTTATTTAAAAAAAGTCCCGCTAGGTTTCTTGCTGGTTCTTCCCAGGACAGAGGTTTTTTCCGAACCAGTGGTAATCAAACAAAAGAGTGACTTTCAATAAGTATTATTTATAATCTATATTGAATAAAAAAGTTTCTGTTTCTGTTTCTGCTGTTTAGCGGCAGAAATAGGTAAAAGGGTGGGACTTTATTTTATTTATTTTAATCATAGATAGGTAAATAATGTATGCACTAATTATATTTGTTTGTTTGTAGGTTATATATATATATAGGGTGTATTGAAGCCGGTTTGCAAAGCATCCTCATATGTCTACAGAGATATATTACCAGTACCCAGTAGCTCAACTGCAAACATTTCTGCTATAAACAATTCGCCGAGAAAGAAAAAAATTAAAAAGACTATTGATATTCTTCGGAGATTAGATATGAAACAAAAAAAAACTGAAAAATGTAAGAGCACAAAGAAAACGGGCTAATGAAAAAGTGGAAAAGTTGTCTCAAGTGATAAAAAACTTAGAAAGGCTTCCCTCACTTCAAAATAACATTAGTGCTGTAATGGCATCTGGTCCAAATGATTTGTTGCAGCATCTCATCGAAACGGTGATTAAGAAAAAACAAAATAAAAATATTACACAAGAGTATGCGCAACTAAAGACATTTGCCCTAACTTTACACTTTTATAGTCCTCGGGCTTACAATTACATGAGAACTAAATTTGACCTGTGCCTACCACATCCTCGAACACTACGAGGCTGGTACCAAAATGTAGGCTGTAAGCAAGGCATCACTATGGAAGCCATAGAAACCATAAAGGCTATGAGCAAAGAAAAAAAAGATTTGGTCATCGCCCTTACGTTCCACGAAATGTCTATCCGTTAAGACATTGAATTTGACGGTCGTAATCATCATGGCTATGTAGATGTGGGTAATGGTATCCATGGAGATCAAGTAGACAAGGCTAAAGAGGTATTGGTAATCATGGCAGTGTCAATCAATTCTTTTTGGAAAATTCCAATTGCTTATTTTTTTGGAAGAGGATTTACTGCTTTACAGAAAGCAACACTTCTAAAGCAGTGTATTGCTTCATTATCAGATTTTGTAAAAGTTGCTTCTGTTACTTTTGATGGCATAGCATCTAATATAAATATGGCACAAATACTAGGAGCTAATTTGAGCACCGCTCCATTTAGACCATACTTTTACTATAGAGGGCAAAAATATTACGTAATATTAGATGCGTGTCATTTATTAAAGTTGATAAGAAATACTTTTGCAGAATACAAAAATTTGTATCATCATAATGATATTATTAAATGTGAATTTGTTGAAAATCTCTGCCAGCTTCAACATTATGTCGGTTTGCATTTGGCAAATAAGGTAACTAAAAAACATGACAATTTTGTAAATCACAAAATGAACGTACGATTAGCGGCGCAACTGTTGAGTAATTCTGTTGCAACCAGCTTAGAGTTTTGCAAAGAAGTATTAAAATTACCTATGTTTGAAAATTGCCAAGCGACAGCAGGTTTTATAAAACATATAAACAGCATATTTGACATTTTCAACTCCAGAAATTTACTCAGCTACGGATTTACGGTCTTAAATGCAAATAATGTTGAAAATGTTATAGCTGAATGTGACAAAGTGTGAGAATTTATTAAAAATTTAAAATACAACAACCAAGCTTTGATAGAGAGTCGAAGAAAACTTGGTTTTATCGGTTTTTTGGTGAATACAATAGCTTTGAAGTGGCTATATGTCGATTACATAGAGTCAAAAAAATTAAAGTTTCTTCCGACCTATAAACTCTCTCAAGATCATATAGAAACTTATTTTAGTGCAGTACGTTCTAGAGGAGGATTTAACAACAATCCTACAGCCAGACAATTCACAGCAGCATACAAACGATTAATCTGCCACTTGGAAGTCCAAATCAGCGATAAAGCCAATTGTTTGCCTTTGGAGAATATTAATTTGCTCAACATACAAAGATCGTGTACTATAGATATAATAAATACAACAACTGGCCTTAGTGCAATAACGACGCCAAACGACGATGCGGCTATTGGCCCAGGCCAAATAGATAATGAAGATTCTGATTTAGTATCATCTATGCCATGGATACCTGAAGGCATGGAATCTGTAGTGTAGTTAAGTCCATTGTTCAGTACATATGTGGTTACGTGGTGAAAAAAATCGTAAATAAAATTAAATGCGAATCCTGTGTAAATGTACTATACGGTGAAGTTAAGGAAGGTTCACTAATAAACATGAAAGACGTAGGTGGCCTCGTGAATCCCTCTCAAGACGTTTATGAGATAGGTGTCTTTTCTGAACGAGTTTTCCGAAAACACGTAAAAGGAAAATTTGTAAACGAAAACATATTTTAAAAAATAGTAAACGAATGCTTTGCGTCCTGCAAACATTTTTTAACACACTTGACATACATATGTACGATTCGCCAGCATTATCAAACCATAAACACTTAATTATTAAATTAATAATTGAAACTTATTTGGTTATCAGATTAAAGTATGAAGCAAAATTGCAAAATACCTCTAAGGAGAGCTTACGACATTTTTACAATAAATTAGTTATTTTTGGTGGAAAATAAAAATCACAAACTTTTTGTTTGTAGTTTTATTTTGATGCCCTCAAACATAATAATATTCATTTTATGACACAGACACAGCGTTCTGTATCGATAATTAAAATTGATACATGGCGCAGCACTACTGTTGTCGCACACATGCACATTTCACTCACACGGGTACATTTGGTTTTTGGTCTCACCCTAATCACGCCATCGCCAATCTAATGTATACTATATCTATGGGTCAACCGAAAAAACACCAAAAATATTATAAAATGAAATTACTTATCTAAAATTCTAATTATTATTATAATAATCCTTTTCAAATATATTTCGTTTCAAACTATTTTTAATCATTTTAATATGCCAGGCACATTTTCTAGGAATTGATTATAAAAACATACATTGCCCATCGATCACTAATAAAAAACTAAATACACAATCCCATGCAAAAGTTCTCTAAAAACTGTCACCAATTGTTTTGACATAATTTTAGTTAAAATAAATATACATTAATGTAAATTCAACCATTACAATGCATCGCCTAAAGTTATATTCACAAAGCTACGAACAAATTAAAAGCGCACCCAACGTTCGAGTGGGCGCTCATTCGGTAAGGACATTTTTGTCACTAATTGTGTGTCTAGCTTTTTATTAGTGATCGATAACATTACCATATAAATGAATAACTCACATACTGCAGTTGTATAACTGTAATTAATTACTAACTTGTCTTTATTACTATGTATTAAGGTAAGGTATACCTTGTATTTAATAAAAATACATCACCTCAGTATTTATTTTATTAATAAAACTATTTTCGTTATTGTGTAATGTGTTGTGTGAAGGTTAATGGATTTACACTCCACCAACCGTTACAGCCTTTTAAAGTCCACTGCTGAACATAGGCCTCTCCCATATATGGCCTCATAGGATATTTAGCATAGTTACCACGCTTGGCAAGTGGGTTGGCAAACGCAGTTTTTTATTTTTAGTTATTATTAGAAAGACACTGCTGCCCATCTCCTGATTTGTTTCCCTCTGTCGCCTCTTGCGACATCCACACTACACTGTAAACTCAACCAACAAATACAGTTATAATACTTGGCATGTACGAATGCTACTGCCCACATCGGCCGACAGCGGCCGCGTGAGTACGACAAACGAACTTCATGTCGCATCACAATATTCAAATGCACTATGTAAATGCATTCTCATTCAATTTGATGCATTTTGAGCAACAACTTAGATACAAAGATAGCTTTTTGTTATCTCGGTGTGTTGTAAAGTTTTTACAACACACCGAGGTTAAGTTCCTTTTTGAAGTAGATTGAAAAATGTTTATTTCAGTTCTTTACTAAAAAAGTAAGTAATAAAAAATTAATAATCTTCCGGTCATCAGATGCCGCTAGTTGGGACCGGGGTGAAGTTTTTCGTTACACAATGTTATTTACTTGAGATGTTAGTTTTCAATAAAAGTTAATCAGTTTCTAGAGTATTACATTAATGCACAAAACAGTGTCTCAGTGATTTGCTCTCGGGTACATTTCATTTTCAGGTTTCATTGTTTGCAAATCAATCTTTTAGACAACATTGAGAAGATTTGAAACTGTAATAATGAAAATGGTTAAAGCGAATTGAGCACCACTACTATTGCTAATAATATATGATATTCGATCTGTCTCATGAATTACTGTCAAAACTGCGTTTATCGAAGGAAAAAATCGTAACACAGACAGTATCGGAAGTTACCACCCTGGTCGAAATGTTCACCCTGGTCGAAAAGAGTTCATCATCATATTCTGTAATGTGGAAAATAGCTAAATAGGCCAAAACATACCTTGAAGACTTCATCGTTGTTGTATATGACCGCAGTGTTGGGTCTGGAGGTGCGGATGTAGCAGATGCCGCGCGTGTTGGCTGCCAACTCCACGGCTCTCTCAGTGGATACAGCATCTCTGCATCACAACACTTTACTTAAGGCGCAGGTTGAGCAAAATGTCGCGCTAGTCGTTATTTGTGCGGTTTTCAGAAGCTATCTACTTTTTATTTAAAAGATATATCAACAAATAAAAAACACATTATATTTCTACATAATCTTGATTCCATAAAAGCTATATCCAATTTTTTTTTAAACTAATAAATATTAATATAATCTCCTTACAACGAAACCACATAAATGTGAAATTATTATTGATAACATGGATCTCCTCGTAAAGTAAGTATTATTTTATTTTGCGATTTACACCAATGGATAGACAATTTATTAATAAACATTTCTATAGTAAATTTTTTTTCAAAAGACCAAAATTTGATTTTATTAAGAAATTATTTTAAAATCTGGGCATATTCACTGCTCACGGGCTTGCTGGAGTCATTGAGCCCTGAGCTCTTCGACGCGAAGCCCGTGTCGTTAGAGCGTCGACCAGCGCCGCATACACTCACGTAATATCAGTCGATAAATAATATTACTTATTAGGTTATTTATAGGTAGTATTATTTGTTTGTTTTGGGTATAATTTTTCGTAATAGTTATACATATATTTGTTGTGTTTTTTACTGCGCGATGAAGCTTTTTGCGTGTATTTTCTTTGAAGTAAATGCAAATAAAAAAATGAAGCACCATTGGCATGTAAGGTTTGAATCCATAATTAAAATTTCGATAAATATTATAATTTACACTATAAAAGGCTAATTCAATATTATCACCCAACCACAATATCTTATTATGTACAGTACTACCTCGTTGGTCTAGTGGTTGTAGTAGTGCGACTGCTGATCATTAGGTCCCGGGATCGAATCCTGGGTCGGGCCCTGTCAGTTATGAGTTTTTCATTTATGTTCTAAGTTATAATTAGTATTACTAAGTTATAGTTTTTTGCTAAAATATAGTATATTATTTATTGCTTGTTTTTTCTTCTTTTTCAAAAAATAATTGAGTACATAAGGTGTTCTATACTTATACTTCGGTAAAAAGTATCTAAGTAGGTACTAATATACCTACTTTTTACTACTAAAAATTTTTAAAACTAAATTTAACTAAAAAGACTAAACTGACCATTTATTTTTTAACTCAAAACAGGACATGGGTTTATTTATACTCTAAAAACTATAACTTTATACAATTAGTGTTCACTGTAAAATTATATTCGGTATAGACGGTAATTATTAAATGCAACATATTTTTCTTAATTATTAATTACATTTGTCAGTGGATTAAATTTTCTTTAATAAAGTTAGTGATGATTTTAAATAAAAATAAAATTCTGCTCAAGTTTTATTGTTATCTTTGTTAACAACATCGCCTTTAGAACTCTGGAACCGTAAGTGTTTCTTTCAGACGTCCACAATTTATTCAAAATAAAAAAAATACTCTTTCTACCGGAGCATTCGTACCAGGTAGACATAAAATATATTCGATTAAAAAAAATTATGTTGAAGATTGTTGACTTTGAATACTTCCATCCAACGAGTTACGGGACAATTTTGTGTCCCGGAGCTTTGTTTGGGGACAATGGGACAGGTGACCGAGAAAAGGGACAGTCCCGTTCAAAACGGGACGTGTGGTCACTTTAGCTATAACCCGGCGACGGCTCCGTGGGGCAGTTGCTTAGCAATTAGTTGTTGCGCTGGGGGCCGCGGGTTCGAATCCTGCACGGAACAAGTATTTGTATGGCTTACAAATAATTGTTCCGGGTCTGGATGTTTGTCCTTGTGCAATTTATGTTTGTAAACTGCCTCCACGACACAGGAGAAAATCCTAGTGTGGGGGTAACGTTTTTTTACAATTGAAATTGAAAGATTGAACCCTTATACTTCTTGTTGATTTTTGTATTAGTAGTTAGGTATATTACTTTTCAATACGTGACACGTAAAAATTAACAATAATCAAAAACACATCTACGAAACATCCTATTTATTTATTTATTATTTATTGCACCAAATATTTGTACAAAAGGCGAGCTATCTATTTATTTACCTATAGTGAATAGGTATCTTTTAAACTCATAATTTTCAATGCTTCATTTTTAATATATAATTAATTATAAAATTTCATAATTAGATAATATATGAAAATACATAATTCTAATATAATGCAACTAATATACCGAATAAAAAAATTAAAATACATTTATCGTTGTACGCTGTGTGTATTTCCATAAATTAGTTCATTGATGTTGAAAAAATAATACTACGTTCGTACCTACAATAGGTGGTGGCGTCGTACATATTTCAAATAAGCAATATATTGAGGCGAGCGGCGTGCCGCCGGCAAAATGCTCAAGGTCGTTCGCATGGAGTAGCCCCTTAATATCATCCAGACCGAATTTCAGTCACGACGGCCAGTCTCAACAGAGATTATAGTGTACATGAGTGTATGCGCAATGCTCGAGTGTATGAGAGAGATCAGGCGCAGAAACCACGACTTTATGTACTTATCGAGACACTTGACTCCGAACTGCTACTGAGAAATACTTGGAAAGAAATATACAATAACTGTATACGTGGTTGAGCCATGCTGCAGCTATATTAGTAGTATAGTTGTAGCACGAATGGGTCGGCTCGACCGGGGAGGATTTGTCATAGCAGATAGATGTAGATGTCTATGGGCCGCAGAAACCGCTTACCATCAGGTGGACTGTGTGCTCGTTTGTCACCCTTATCCTATAAAAAAAACAGATTTTGGCCCAACCCGGGATTCGAATCCGTCCCCTCTTGATCAACACGTGGTCTTGGTCTAGTGGTCGTGATCGCGTTCACGACCACTAGACCAATACCACGAAGAAAACTACTTATTTGTGTATTAGAGGAGTTCATTCATTTACTATTAATTACAACACAAAACACTGCTGAACCTGGCATCTCCCGAAGGGGGAATTTCCCATAGTTGCCACGCTTGGCAGACGGGTTGGCAATCGCAGTTTTTTTTATAATTTTGAGTTGTATTCAGGATGCTGCTGCCCATCTCCTGTTTCAGTTTCTTTTTGACACCTATCACGACAGTCATGAGATGATATTCTTACATCGTCACTACACAGTAAACTAGAACCGGAAGACCTTACTTCATACAATAATTTCTATAGTAAGTTCTTCGAAAGACTATGAGTATTTACACTTTCATAAATGCTCTATCATCGTCACCACTACACTAGGAAAGACACACACAACGTCAATAATACACGTGTTTCGCCTCTAAACGAGCTATCATCAGGAGACATATACTTTTCGATGGCTAACCACTAAGTGGTCTAAGCTAATAAAAAATCAGTATATAACAAATCCGTATAAGGTAAATTAGATAATTACTGTGTAGTGGCAGTGTAAGAATACCAACTACCTCATATCGTTCCGTGGGTGTAGTAAGAGGCGACAGAAAAAAAAAACAAATCAGAAGGTGGGCTAGTGTCTTTCTAATAACGATAAAAAATAAAAAATTGTAATTGCCAAGTGTGGTAACTATTCCACTTATGAGGCAATCTATGGGGAAGGCCTGTTCAGCAGTGAAATTTAATAGGCTGTAACGGTAAATTAGATAATTTATATTAAATTACTCACGAAGGGTAGAAGACTGTAGCTGTGGGTACTGCTCGGAACAAGGCAAGATCTTCCAGACCCATCTGTGAAGGTCCGTCCTCTCCGATGCTCACACCGCAGTGGGAACCCGCCAAGTTGATGTTGGACTGACTGATTGCTCCCATACGAATCTGTTTATAAATAAATATGCATCAAATTATTATAAAAATTCTTCTGGTTTACATTCTTTATGGTGTTTTTTTTTTAAATATATCTTGACTTTTTTCTAGAAGCTTATTCACTCTTCCGTTGAAGATACCCAAAACACTGACAAATGCAAATAATTCTAGTAAGATAGAAGAACACAATTCGAATGACATTTTAACTTACAAACAAAAGAAGAGTTCTATTGTCCGATTTTAATGACCCTTTTTTGGTAAAGAGTATACTGGGGATGGTCCCATATAAATTTAGTCAAAATTTGATGAAAATTCATGGATGGAATTTATGACAAAGTCATTTAATTTGCAAAGTTAGCCCAACATAACATAGGCAAATAACTCTTTACCATCAACCTATTTCAATCATTATATTCTTTTTAGTTCTTCAAAGACGGTTTTAATTTTTTTTAATTATACTCAATTCCAATTCAGTAAGTAGAATTCAAATTACAAAGACGTAGTATCATCCACTACAGTATATGAAAGGTTATTACTGAACCTAGTACAGTCTATTAGTCCACCACTAAATATAGTCCAGTCTATTACAGTCCACCACTAAATATAGTACAGTCTATTATAGTCCACTAGTAAATATAGTACAGACTATTATAGTCCACTACTAAATATAGTACAGTGTATTAAATTCCACCACTAAATATAGTAAGTTTATTAAAGTCCACTACTAAATATAGTACAGTCTATTAAAAGTCCGCTACTAATTATAGTACAGTCTATTACAGTCCACCACTAAATATAGTACAGTCTATTATAGTCCACTACTAAATATATTACAGTCAATTAAAGTCCACTACTAAATATAGTATAGTCTATAAAAGTCCACTACTAAATATAGTACAGTCTATTACAGTCCACCACTAAATATAGTACAGTCTATTATAGTCCACTACTAAATATAGTACAGTTAATTAAAGTCCACTACTAAATATAGTATAGTCTATAAAAGTCCACTACTAAATATAGTACAGTCTATTAAAAGTCCGCTATTGAATATTGTCAAATATAGTACTGGACCAGAACAAGCAATATTTATTAAAGGACTGGGCACACGAGAACAGATCCTGAACAGGAGCCAAATAATTGAGAAAAATTGGTAGTTTAATACACCTGTGTTCATGTGCTTCATTGACTACTCTAAAGCTATTGACTGCGTAAGATGAAACTGTCTAAGGGATATTCTCCGGGAAATGGACGTACCTTAACATCTTATAGTATTGATTGCAAACCTATACCAAGAAGACGAATGATAGGTAAAGGGAGTAAGGCAGAGATGTATCCTGTCTTTTATCCTGTTTAACATTTACGGGGAATACATAATAAGAAGGGCCCTAGAAGGATGAAAAGGAGGAATTTCAATCGGGGGTGTTAAAATCAGCAATCTCAGATACACAGATGACACCACACTTTTGCATTATCTATACAAATAAATAAAATTGAAATGTCTGTTTGTAATATAAAAATAACAGATTTTTACTAAATGCATATAAAAGTATATACGGTACTTATAACAAAAACACAATTTTTAAATTTTTGTCTATCTGTCTGTCTGTTTGTTCCGGCTAATCTCCGAAATAGCTGGACCGATTATGACGAAACTTTTACTGGCAGACAGCTAATGTTACAAGGACCAACTTAAGCTACTTCCGCGCAAGAAAATGAAGTGGACATGACATAAGACGAATCCAAAAAGCCAAAGGTGCATAATTAACACGAATTTGGCAAAACAGGAAGATCTATGTCACCAAAAAGAGTCTCGTGAGAAATTTAGTGTTCTCCATCTTCCTTTATGATTCTGAAGCATGGATGATTCGAACAGTAGACAGGAAAAGTATAGATCCGATCGAAATGTGGTGTTGGAGAAGGTTGCTTCGGACACCATGGACCACGAAGAGGACCAACAAGTCAATCTTGGAGCAGCTTCGTATTGACACTAGACTCTTTACTACGTGTTATCAGAGAATTATGTTACTTTGGTCATATTGCCCGACGCCTGCCTAATATCTTGGATAGACTTATAGTCGTAGGAAAGGTAGGGAGCAAAAGACCACGCGACCGATCATCTAGCCGCTGGTCGGATCAGGCCAAATCACTCATTGGCCTTCCACTTACGACCGCAATGTGAAAATCCAAGGACCGGACAGAGTGGAGAGCTATAATAATCAGCGCTACGAAGGCACTAACTATGGGCACGACCTACAGTCATGAAGAATACGACCAAGAAGTCGATATTCCACGCATTACAACCAAATTTTTTGCTTCGTCTTACATAATGCATACAACAAAGGCGTGGAATAATATGTTTTCAAGGCAATAGTGAATAGGCTTTTATTACGCTAAGACAATGTGATTTACCATTTAGAGTTTCATTACTATTTACTAACAGGTGGGATTGTGGTTAAACACTGGTAATAATAAGTAAAAAAAAAAAATCACGAACGCAGTTTTATATGTGAGAAAATATTTATGGAGGGTTTTGGAGTAGAGGTGAGTTTGTTTCTTCTGCAATCAACTTCAAAGAAAGAAGGTTATGGATGGGTTGTCTCTTTCGAGGACTAAGATGGAATGCCTCATAACCTGTAATTATTTATATTGGTTTTTTATATTTTTCAAACCGGTATATTGCAGTGCATAGATTGCTTTTTGATAATAGGTATAGATAAGAGGATGGTACCCACGTGGGGATGGAGTCCTACCATTCCGTAGCGCAGTGCTTATTTGTGGTGGTGTATTACGGGTTTAATTTTCACACGGAACAAGTTTAGTATTTGTATTACAATTTGTCGTTGACGTCGCAAAGGGGTGAACCTCAATTTTTTTTAAATTACAGGGGATTTATTATTCCCCAATTTTTAGCTTTTTTTTTCAGAAAAATAATTTTATTTGTAGTTTTCCATTAAGTCTAATATATTTAATTTTTTGATTAAAAAACGTTAATAATCTGGGAATAATAAATGTTTTCGTGCTTTTCGTTTGTTCCTTTGTGGTGTCAACGACGCATTGATTGTTTTGGGTCTGAATGTTTGTTTTTATGCAATTTATGTATGTAAATTGCTTTTACAATACAGGATAAAATTCTGTTGGATATGGGGGTAATGTGTATTAAGTAAGAAAAAATATGAACTTTGCTTAAGTGTGAGTGATTATAAGTTATAAAATTATGTCTAGTGATTGCTCAAAAATCTATTTATATGGTTCTGACGGAATATTAGTGGTGTGCGGTAACTTTGCTATTGTAGGATTATGTTGAAGACTGTTTGTTATTGTAATCCATACTTTTCTATGCTTTGTTAAGTATTTTTTTGTATAAGCAAGTTTCGGCAATAAATATGTTGTTTTTTTTTTTTTAAAGTGTGTAACGGTGACCTGGTCGAAGGTGCGCGTGAAGAAGGCGGCGAAGGTGGAAGCGAAGACCACGGCGCGGTCCCTGCAGGCGGCGCCCGTCGCCACGCCCACCAGGTTCTGCTCCGCGATGAAGCACTCGATGTACCTGCACACCACACACTTATACCCTGCCACTGTCTCCACACCATCATATCTAATATAATACAATACAATCATTTCATTCAATGTACATTACAAGAATACTTATTTAAAGTATGCTCTAACAACAGTAACAGCTAGATTACAATGGATTTACTTTTTCTTTTTTTTACAACAACATAAAATATGCTGCTATATTAAAATAACCTATATTCACAATATAAGAATTTGAATTTTTCATTTATGCTTTTACCACTGGTTCAATAAAAAAAAAAACTTTTGTCTTAAGTAGAACCAGCAAGAAACCAAGCAAAACTATTATTTTAACCCATTCTACTTTTTACAAAATTTTGAATATTTTCAAACATTACAATAAAATCTTATGAAAATAATTTTATTTTTTAAACAACACTTGCATATTTTTAGTCAGCAATTTTTTTCGGCAAAAAAAAAGATTAAACTCATAGCATATTTACATCCCACTCCTACGCACATCGTCTTTAAGCATTCTTTAAATTGACAATTTCTATAAATAAGACTACATATTATTAATTAATATAAAAATAGCACTACCATATAACATACATGTATTTTACAAGTCACTTAATATTTCGCAGAACTTTAAATTCTTGCAACACCACCGTTAGCACCGCACGCATTGCTATTAAGTTTCCCCATTTCATTAAATTTTATTTTATATTCTATGGAGTATGTTTTTCTTTATTACTTAATAAAATACACAGAATTATATCACAATACTTAAAAACATCCTTACATAGAAAATTACTTTTAGACATAGTAAATTGTTATATTATTGCAGACCGAATTTTCAGACACAACGTCTAATATCAACAGACTAGCCATCTATAAAGATACAGAACATAACATTGAAACATTGCAAGGTCCAAAATCTTTGAATTAAATAATAAATATACTCAATAGCTCGAAGCATACGTATTTTAACTTAATTTTTTTTAAATAATAATAAACAGTTTTTACTTATTACATATTTGTTTAGTAGTTATGTTCGTTTTTCGGTACAACACATAAATATTTATGAATTTTTCTCATGTACTTATAATACTCACCTTTCAGGGTAGGCGTTGCGCAGCTTGTCACTGAATGTAGAGTTCTTGGTATCTCCATCTAACGCAATCACCCTGTAACAAACAATTGATACAATGACACTGAGGTCATATTTGGTATTTTTATATTTAATGTTATTTGTAATGATTATTTTATACCAGGTATTCTTATGACTTATATATAATGTGAAGGTTTCACTCTATTGTGTAAAGTCGGAATGTGTCAAAAAAAGCAGGTGTGTCAAGATCATGCCACATGAAAGTTCGTAGTCTCTGCCTACTCCTCTGGGTAAGAGGCGTGAGAGTTTATGTATGTTTAACATTACCGTTACAGTCAGCCTTACAAAAGTCCACTGTTAAACATAGCTCACCCCCATACACTGCCTCATACGGGACGGTTGCCACGTTTGGCAACATGTTCAGTAAGCAAAATTAAGACTTATGTGCACCGAATGTTTGAATGCTACTGCCCACATCGACCGACGTCGGTCGCGTGAGTACGACAAACAATTTGCTTTAGCACAAAGCTTACAAAATACAAACAATTTGTGTGTATTCTGAAGAAGAAGCTTGTGCAATGTGTGTTGTGTTTTATATTTATAGAGTAATACCGCTTACGAAGTGTGACAAGGAATGTACTCCCAACAAGAGGCCCATGAGCATGGGCCTCTTGTAATGAGTATGGGCCCCATACTCAGCGGTAAACTATTATGGGGCTAATAAGCAAGATAGGGGAAAAAGGAAATTTAAAATGGGAGAAAAGTTTTTTAAGTGGCAACATTTTGGATATATTGCATACACTTAAGAGTGATGACCTGGTATATCCTATTGCTGCAGGAACATAACCAAGTTGAGGTGTCTCAGGACCGTGTTTTGTGGTATTCCCCAGAGGAGAACTATGTTCAGCAGTGGACTTGTGAAGGACTGCAATGATTATAATGATGATGAAGCCTGAAACATTTATTTTGGCCTTTACTTCTTCATTAAGCAACAACAGTACTCTGTTAATAATTAGTGTAGTGTTTCCCTCCAAGACTGCCACAAAACATGAAGAAATCTTGAAGTTTATGCCATTCTCTCACACAACCCAGAGACCCTTTTTACTAGAAATGAGATATTCCATCTTAGTTCTCATGGGTGACAACGCATCTGCATTTTGATTCTCAAATCCAGGATAAATGTAGATGTCTATGGACAACAGCATCCACTTACCATCAGGTGGACTGTGTGCTCGTTTGTCACCCATATTATATTTAAAAAAAAAACACCACTAGCATTAACCGACTAATCTAAGAAAGTCACTTAAGTTTAAGCTGGTGCCAACTAACAGGTATTACTTCTTTTTTCCCTGTACTTATAACTAGTTATTTGAGATAGGCATAGTATGGCTTCCTCTTCCATACTCCTACCCATATCATCTCTCACACAGTTCATCCATCTTTTTTAAGCCTAATTTTTCCTAAGTACCTACCGGGGTGCTGGGGACCTACTCCACTTTCTTATGTAACATTTCTCGCTTTCATGATTTTCTTCTCTCTGTACAATATGTCTATACAACGCTAGCCTATTGCTTCTCGACTTTTCTGTGACTGATGCCACTTTCAAGCTGACAGGTATCAGTTACTGACCCATTATAAATCTGCAAGTCCACATACCTCATGTTGGTGTCAGCGATTTTCTTGAGTGCAGTTCCATAGGCCAAACGAGTGGCTACTAGCTCTCCCTTCTTGTAGGAAGGCGGAGAGGACAGCGAGATGTCTGCAATGTGCACAGCTGGGGCTTCGGCCACCGGAGCCCGGGGCTTCAGACTCAACGAGCTGTTTTTGATTTGGGACTGCAGGTGCTGTAACAAAAAGGGTCGTCTGAATTATTAAAATATATTAAGAGATTAGAATCCCATCAAAAATGTGGAAAGGGTGTGCCCAGCAGTGAGATGTTTAATGGAATAATCATTTTAACTATTTAACTTTTATTCAAATAAATGTAACAAAAAATTAATGAACGAAAATAAAGACTAATTTTTTTTATAGAATTAGCGAGCCAACATTCCACACAAGCACACATGGCAAGTGGATACTGTGGCCCATAAATATCCTCGATTAAGAATCCCAAAGTGTAACCTGTTTAATACAAAAAAAATTATTAAAAACGGGTCACAATTTACAACGATATCGCGTAACATACATTAAAAAAGCATACAGTCAAAATATAAACACTCTTTTTATAAAGTCAGCTAAAAATAGTCCTATTACCTGGTTGATTGGTCCATAGTTGCCATGTAACGAGTCTCTTTTACTATCTATTAAGCTAATCTATACAAATAAATAAAATTGAAGTGTCTGTTTGTAATGTCAAAATAACAGCTTTTTACTAAATGCATATGAAAGTATATACGGTACTTATAACAAAAACACAATTTTTAAAATTTTTGTCTGTCTGTCTGTTTGTTCCGACTAATCTCCGAAACGGCTGGACCGATTTCGACGGGACTTTCACTGGCAGATAGCTGAAGTTATAAGGAGTAACTTAGACTACTTATATTTTAGAAAAAGAATTAGGGTTCCGCGCAACATAATTAAAACCCTAAAATACACGCGGGCGAAGTCGCGGGGAACAACTAGTAGGTAATAAATTTTCACATGTTTAATGAGGGCTAATGATCTTCCGTTCACCAGATGTCGCTAGATGGGAATAAGATGAAGTTTTTTGTTACATAATGGCATATAATCAAGAAGTTGATCAGTTTCTAGAGTTTTCCATAAATACACAAAACAATGCCACAGTGGTTTCCTCCTTAACATTTGTCACATTTTTTTATTTTTTTTTATCCTACTTTTAAAATATCCGTAGTTAGGTTTATTCATTTCTAATCTAATTAATATCAAATATAAATAATATTACAGAAAGAAACGTTAACCTTTACATTTGCTAACAAATTAACTACCCCGCAAGGTAATTTGTCAATTATTTGACCTTATTCCAAGTGCCGCCGCCCTGGTGGCAGAAAAAGTAGTGGATGCCAACATTCATGGCCATGTTAAAGTAATAATAAAACCCGTCCTCTTGATCAGTGATAGATCAGAGATAAGATATTTTATATTTAAAAACACCTAAAGCCAATGTTAAACAAAAGAGGCCACAGATATTATGTCGTTATCTCTGAGGACTAAGATGGAATCTTTCACAGCCTGTATTGGTTCTATTGCCACACTACTTGTGCGCTATACGCTATATATCTAGAAATAAATAAGTGAGCGACCTACCCTGACGGACTTAATATATAATGAACCCTAGGTTTCCCTACTATTAAATAATTATTTGTTATATTTATCTGAGCACATCACATTGAATATAACGAATTTTCGGGCACATATTGATCCCATGATCACAGTGGAGACAGATGTTTTCCTGTCCTGATTCGATGTTCAACTTTTAAAAAGTAAATATATAAATAAATAAAGTCAACAAACCTTAATGATCTTCTCTCCCTCAGCTCCAAGGGCCTTTCCGTGCCAGTTTTCAGCATCCTCAATGCCGGGGAAGCCTCGTCCCTTGTATGTCTTGGCAACAATGGCAGTGGGGCGTCCAGTAACTGAAGCCGCCTCATCGAAAGCTTTCACCAGCTCGGAAACATCATGACCGTCCACTACGATGGAGTTCAGTCCAAAGGCTTTGAGACGTGCATCATAGATATCCATCTGTTAGAAAGATTTAGATTTAGTCTTTTTTTTAGTATTTCGGCAAAGGTAGCTCTAGGCGGAAATTTATTGACCAAATTGTCGTTATGTTGAAGATGGGCCACAGATGACAAGCGTGAGTGTTTAAGTATGTATGTTTGTATTAAATATTTAATTTAGTTCGTTCCCTTATCACCGGGTAGTAACCCTTCGTCGCAGGTTTGACAACGCATCTGAAATTTGATTTTAATCGAGGATAGATAAGGATGTCAATGGGACACAGCATCCACTTTCCATCAGGTGAACTGTGTGCGTGGTTTGTCACCCTTGTTCGAGAAAAAAAGGAAAAACTTGCTTGCTAAGAAAGAAAAGAATTCATGAGGACACGTGACGATCGTTAACACGCTTTGAAACAGCGCGGCGAATCTATTCAGCAGTATAAATATTCTATCCTCTCAGCAGCATAATAATGGTAGAAGAAGAGTAGACTAGTGAAAAATGCGTCATACACGGTTGAAAAAAGAAACAATTACAGTCAAACCTGAGTAAGTGAGAACTGGGTGAGCGAGAAAACTCTAAGTGATAATTGTCAGGTCTCGTAATTTTAACCCCTTAAAACCTTTATAAGTGAGAAATAGAAACCTGTGTAGGTGACAGTTCTTTTTCACTCGCAGACCTCTATAACTGAGATTGTTACTTGCTTTTACTTTTAAAAGCGACAGTTAAACATATTTAACATTTGATCTTTATGACTCATTGTCGTGCCGTGTAGTGGCGGTGTAAGAATATCCACTACCCCATTTCGGCCCGTGAGTGTGAGTTTATCTGATTTGTTTACTCTTACGAGGCGACAGGGGTAAACAAATCAGGAGATGAGCATCAGCGTCTTTCTAATAACAACTCAAAATATTTAAAAAAAACCGCGGTTGGCAACCCGCTCGTCAGGTTGAAATGGATGGATGTATAGACGATAATCTACCAGGAGCACATCACCCACTGAGAGGTGAAATTTTCAAATCTACAGTAACATTACAACTATGGCAAATATCCCCCGTATGTGGTAATCTATGGACAAAGCCTATGTTCAGCAGTGGACTTTAATAGGTTGAAATGGAATTGACTTATTGTTATGTCATTGTTATTAAAAATTTTGAGGAATTCTTATTCTATTCGAACGCAAAAGAAATTAACGGATGATTTTTTTTACCCATATTTGCTGTATTTTTTATGTATGTTACGTACAAGTGGGACAGACCTCTTCTGTACCTCTGTAAGCTAGAAACTCGGGTTAGCGAGTGAACCTCCATAAGCGAAAAATAGATCGCAATCCCTTGAACTCTCGCTTATCCAAGTTCGAGTGTAATATCACCTATAGCAATACAATGATTGTGTGTCAGAGATCCAGTCAATGCCAACTGATATCTTATCGCGTGTTTATTAATATGTGGTCATCTTACATAATAGGAGATGCCAACACAATGCGATATGATTTTAAGTTAGCTTCGAGAAAAAAAAAGTTGAATTAAAAATGCTTTGACAGCTTGGAGATTTGGCCTAGTCATAGTACGCGAAAAGCACGATTCGAGTCCGACTGCAAATGTAACTTTCAATGACGTAACATAAACGCATGGTCATTTGAAAGTCGATAAGTGCCACACATAATACTTTAAACAAATGTAAGGTCCGTCGTGCTACCCCATTGCGTGTTGGCCGAACTTCACACGTCTTCGAAATATTTTTTTTATTTTTTATTTTTCAAACATGCCGGTTTCCTTACGATGTTTTCTTTCACCGCCGAGCACGTGGTAAATCAGCTCTTAAAATTGCAATTTACAATTTAATTGGTGCCGGTGGGGATCGAACCGCTAATCTACCACGCGCTAAGTCCCCGAGTAATTGTAGATGGGTATATAGTAGTAAAATAAGAAAAATCATTAACTTATCTCATCTCGTGGGTGTTGTAAGTAAGAACTTAGGAAAGACTCATAATATTTTGTATTCCAATAGATTTCAGAATAACCATTTCACATAAAATATAACGCGTATGTGATCTTCAGATCGGTGACGGATGTGTATCGCAGCACCAGAATATCTGCCAAACCTGGCGCTTAGAAAAAATCCTATGATCTATGAATGAAACCAGTTTTAGGAAAAGAATGTTCAAAAACAAAATAAATATAGTTGTTTTTAAGTTTGTTTAAGCTTTGATAATGTCCTCCAGACCGAATTTAGTTCATGTCAGCCAGTCTCAACGGAGACTAGCCATCTGTGCAGGACAGGATTACAGTGCTCAAGTGGCAAAACAGATATTTGTTATAATGTATTTTTTTTGTTGTTTAATTGATTTTCATTAGAGCTTGTAAGTGAGCCGCCAATGTGAATAAAAAAAAAGTACTGATTTACACCATGTTTAGAGGTGAAGGTAAATTTTGTTTATCCGAAATATAATAAGTCAAATATCAAAAATGTATATAACAACTTATAGGCTGTAATGGTAACCTATCAAAAGTCCACTGCTGAACACGGCCTACATAGATTCCCACATAGGGGAGATATTTGCCATAGTTGCTACGCTTGGCAAGCAGGTTGGCAACCGCAGTTTTTAATTTCTTCTTCAGTAACAACTGCCTAACAAGGCACATCTCCTGTTTTAGTTTACCCTGTCGCTTACGACACCCACCGGATATGAGGTAGCGGATATTCTTACACCGCCACTACACGGTAATATGTTTGTGTTATTTTGCCTACTTTACAGTAATAGGTAAGAGACTAGCACCAACTCAAACAGACTTCTATGCAGATAATTTAAAATTAAAAATTTTGTACACCCGACTTCAATATACGTTATTAACAATAACTCAAAAACTATTAGTCAGACCTTGATCTATATGGGACCACATGTAAAGCACCAGTTTTCATATAAAAAAAAGATCATCGAAATTGGTTCACCCAGTAAAATGTAATGAGGCAACACACATAAAAAATATGCAGTCGAATTGAGTACGGTCTCCTTTTTGAAGTCTGTAGAAAAAGAGCTACCGCCTAGAACAATAGCCTGAACAGCCTGAAACTTTCTAGATGGTAGTGTCACATAGTAAAGTTGTAAATACTTGGCATGTACGAGTGCTACTGCCCACATCGGCCGACAGCGGCCGCGTGAGTACGACAAACGAACTTCATGTCGCATCACATTACTCGAATGCACTATTCAAATGTATTCGATTCACACAATTTGATGCTTTTTGAAAGGCAAAGATATTCTTCTATGTGGCATATTTACTACTTTAGTCTGCGTAAGTTCATTCATTACAGCCATTCACAAGTTCCTTGCTGAACACAGGCCTCCCCCAAGGAATGCCACAAAGCACGGTCCTGAGCCACTTTTGATCTTTAATGATGATAATGCTGATTTTATACAACAATTCAGAGGGGGAGGGGGAATACCAACATGTACACTACTAAAATATTATAGACAATACCATTGTATATATTTTCTATCACACACCTGATGCTGGAGCGAGGTGGGTTCAGACTGTCCAAGACGGTTGATGTCAAATATGACCACCAAATTGTCAAGCTTGTAGTGGCTGGCGAAGTGCAGCGACTCCCAGATGCTGCCCTCTGCAGCCTCGCCGTCTCCCACTAAGCAGTACACCCTGGGAAATATAGTCTCCATAAAAATTGAACACTTCACAAAGGGCTCCATACACGTACTTAATCTTAATTCGATTGTCAGCACAGAACTTATAATTGCACTTGAACTATTGAAATTACAGTCCACCTGATGGTAAATGGATGTTTTAGTCCATGGACACCTGCAACCAAGTTCAAGCAAAGAAGGAATACCTCACGGCCCGCTATTATACTGGCTCTCTTTACCCTTCAGACAAAAACAGAACATGCAAAGCATGCACTGCTACTTGGCAGCAGAAATAGGTATGAGGGTACGGTACGGTACGGTACTGTACTGTACTATACTGTATTGTACTGTATCTGGTACTAATACCATACCTATCCAGATAAACTGTTAGGCGGAAAGGGACTCCTACCACCTAGAAATTGTTAAGTCGCGTAACTGTCACGTGACTCGCGGTTGCATAACTATATGGTTCAAAGTCAAGTTGGCTAACCTCACAAGAAAATAAAAATAAATAAAATTCTACATATTCTTTTCGTACCCGTTTTCATTCTTTGATTACATCATATAGATTAATCTATACATATAAATAAAATTGAAGCGTTTGTCGGTAATATCGAAATAATTGACTTATATTTTAAGACATAATTAACTAAAATAGCAGCGTAAAATAGCAGATTAATGCTGCTGTGTTTCATATGGTGGGTGTAGAGTACCAGAGACCATTTTTACTGGAATAGAGGCATTCCATCTTAGTCCTCACGGCTGACAACGCATCTGCATTTTAATTAGCAAATGAGGATAGATGTCTATGGGCCACAGTAACCACTTACCATCAGGTGGACTGGCTGCTCGCTTGTCATCCATATTTTATAAAAAAGAACTATTTTTATAATTTTTCTGTTTGTCTGTCCAGACTAATCTTCAAAATAGCTAACCTACAATATAAAAACCAATGCCAGGAGTGATTTAGGCTATATTTCATCCGAAAAACTTGGGGATTTTTGACTTGATCATTTTAAATTTTAACAACACTACATTATTAGACCTTATAAGCCAGGATGGGTGGATAGTTATAAACAATTTAAAGTCTAAATATTACACATGTGTAAACACTGCAATCTTACCTGTAAGGCGTCTGGTCAAAGTACTTCCCAACGTATGCCATCCCTGCGGCGACAGCCAGACCCTGGCCGAGCGATCCCGTACCCACGTCAACGAAGCTCAGACGTGGGGTGGGGTGTCCCTCCAGGTCAGAGTCCAGCTTGCGCAGGTTCTTCAGCTCATCCACCGGGAACAGCCCCGCCTCCGCCCACGCCGCGTATAGGATGGGAGCTGCGTGACCCTACAGATGGAACAAGTTTGCTTCCTCAGAACAAAAATTAAAATAATAACAATGTTATTTAAATTTCTAAAAACTCTTCACCTCACTCTTCAGGATACAGTATATTTCCAGATTACCAGCGTAATATAGCAGCTGAATGCTGCTGTGTTTCGTATGGTGAGTGTAAAGAACCGGAGACATTTTTTACCAAAGGCAAGGCATTCCATCGTAGTACATCGCAGTATTGTATCCATCATAGTAACATCATATTACACTACATCCTCAGGAGTGACAATGCATCTGCATTTTGATTCTTAATTCAGGGTTAACGTAGATAACCACACTACAGCCACATCATTCACTCACCACTGGACAGAGTGCTTGTTTGTCACTATCATTCTTTTAAAAAATATCCCAAAGAATTTTAACATTATGAATTTTTAAAAAAGCATTTTCTGGAAGTAATAAACTTCCAGAAAATGTCAGAGACCTTTCAAGATTAGATAAAGTAGGGATCGTGACATTAAACCATGTTATCATATATTTCTCCAATAATTGTAATCAGTTACTTAGTCGGGATGCAACATTTGATGCAATTAAATACTTTAACTTTTATTATTCACATACAATATTAATAATTATGTCCTCGACCGAATTTAGGTCACTGCGGCCAGTCTCAACGGACACTAGCCATCTGCGCAGGTCAGGATAATAGTGTTCCAGTGTATGTGCAAAGACTGGTGAACCCTCTATTCTCTCACGCTCACAGTCCGATAGGACGGTAATCCGACACGACCATGATTAGAACAGACCAGCTATGGCAACTCTCAAACCAACTTCAAGCTAAAACTAGAGGCTACCAATGCTTACCCTGATGAATACGGGCTCTCTTACTCTTGAACCAAGAACCCACCAGTGGATGCACTTTTGCTTAACGGCTGGAATAAGTTATTTTATAAGTGGTATAGCCATGCTGCAGCTGTATTGTGGTTGTAGCACAAATACTTGGTAAGGAAAAGGCTTGACCAGGGAAGGACCATGGTCTCACAAAATACCACTGTAAAATAGCACCTCAATGTTGCTGTTTGAGAACCAGAGACACTTCACTGGAAATGAGGCATTTCATTTTAATCCTCAGGGGTGACAATGCATCTGCATTCGTAATCTAGGATCGATATAGATGTCTATGGCCCACAGCATCCACTTACCATCAGGTAAGCTGTGTGCTCGTTTGTCACCCTTATTAAATAAAAAAAGTGTGTTCGAAGAGGCAGATAAGAGTCCCACAAGCTGGCAAATTAAATAAAAAACTGTGGTTTAATTAAATTGTCTCTGTAGCTGTCGCTCTTTCGTCAGAGATGTACTGAGTGAGTTAGTGTCAACTTACTTTGGAGAGTATGAACCGGTCGGCGGAGGGGTCCCTCGGTGCGGAGACCTTGTAGCGCATGGTGTGGAAGAACAATACCGACATGATCTCCGCCATCGACGCGCATGATGTGGGGTGACTGTGAACAATAAACAAATTCAATTTTTTTTTTACTAAAAGCCAACTATGGAGACGAAATGCTCTCACTCTTGCCTAAATTTGCTTCCATATCATAGACCACAAGGTTTATTCGGAAAAATCTGGTAAAAACTCAAAGGTTTAGAAATAAACGTAGGTTGATCCAAAACTAACACGGTTAAACATTTGACGGTAAAGGGACCTTACTGACGACCTTAGATGTTTACCGCGAGATACAGACCGCTGGACTGGCTGTTAGGGTTTATTTTTAACAGTCTTAAAAAAGGAGGTTCTATGTTCGTCGCATGTGTTTTTATTTTAATTTACTTGTATGTTGACCAAATTCTCGATAATAGACTATACATACTCGTAGTAGAAAAAAGAAGTGTAGTTGTATTCAAATTTGTATAAAACAATCCACCGCTAATTATGAAAAATAGAAAATAAAGTCTTAATTGCAATTATTTAAAGCTATTTGGAGCTTGTGATATTGCTTTATTATCACCATCATCATCATCACATCCCATCACAAGTCAGTGCAGAACTAAGGAATGAGTGCGATAAATGCAACGGTAAGTAAAAAATAAATAAACCGTTAGCTAAAACTAATTCTACGGGTTTTAGCGCGTTTTGTTATCTTTTTTTTCTACCGACTTCAAACAGGAGGAGGTACTCAATTCGACTGTGTTTTTTTCTGTGTGTTACCTCATAACTTTTTTTCTGGGTGAACCGATTTCGATGATTCTTTTTATTTGAAATCTGGTGCTTCTCATGTGGTCCCATATAAATTTGATCAAGGCCTGACCAAAAGTTTTTGAGTTATTCTTAATAATTTATATTGAAGTCGGTTGTACAACATTTTTAATTATTTAACAATTCAATTGCCAATGTTCCCTTTGTCCTTCCGTGACCATGGCTGTTGTAAACCAGCGAAATGTCGGGATTTATAATAAGTCAAAATAAGTTAATTTAACCCGATAAAATCTGTACAATTAATTTTATTCATGTGGTGTTCGTGTATTTTATTTTTTATATTATTGTTTGCTTTTTTGTTTTTTGTTTAATTTTACCATATCTATAAACAAGGAGTGAATGTCCTGTTTCATGATTTCTATATATAATTTTTTTTTTTTGTTACAAACATACAAAAAAATGACTACTTAAATGTTATGTGTTTTATGTAATCCGCTTGAGTGTGTTGCATGTGCAAAATAAAATCTGTTTCTTTCTTTCTTTCTTCTTTCTAAATGTAATAAATCATTATAAAAAATCGTAGTATGTGGCTACGTCATCACTAAATATTATAAAATTAGCGATCTGTCCCGGCTTCGCACGGGTTTTCGACCACAGCACCGCCGACCAGGTAAAATTGTAAATCTAAACCATTCTCGGATCAACTTAATTGTAATAAACCGTACTGGTGACGTATCAGAGAGATCGAACTACAGACCAATATCATTGGAAACGACAATAGCCAAAATATTTGACAGTGTGCTTAACTCTATTCTAGAAAACCACAGTATGGTACATTATGGCCAGCACGGTTTCACGCGTGGTCTATCGGCAGAAACAGCAATAATGAGTTTAAAGCATACTGTCAAATATTACACGGACACGCGCACACCGGTGTACGGTACGCCTGTTTCCCAGATCTGAGTAAAGCTTTCGATCTTGTCTCGTACGACATCATGTGGCGTAAGTTAGAAGGCGTAGGTTTACCTGACGGGTACACCGATTTGCTTAAGTATTGGTATAGTAATCAGGTGAACTATGTGAGATGGGCAAATGAATATTTCGAGCCGTACAGGATGGAGTGCGGGGTGAGGCAAAGGGGGCTGACATCGCCGAGACTCTTCAACTTGTATATGGACGCACTGATTCGAGAGCTCAGCAGCATGCGTGTCGGATGCCATATCGGCAAAGTCTGTGTGAACAATAACAGCTACGCGGACGATATGGTTCTGCTGGCACCCTTAGTTAGTGCGGTAAGAGCTCTACTCGGTGCTTGTGAAAAATTCGCTGTCTCACATGGTCACTATACAATACCAAAAAGTCGCAGTTCATGGTATTTAAGGCTGGCAGTAAATGTCCTAGTGTTGTACCCCCCTATAAAGCTCTATAACGAATCACTAGAAAGGGTCTATAGTTTTAAATACGTAGGGCACTGTCGGTCAGGGCGAATATTTTGGTGTACAGATTTGGTCGCTCCACTGACGCTGTCAAGATCACGCTTTTCAAAGCATATTGTGCGTCATTTTATTCTTGCAGCCTATGGACCAACTACACCAAAAAGGCCTCTAGTGCCCTACGTACTCAATACAATAATGCATTCAGGGCGCTGTTGCGGCTGCCGCGCTACTGTAGCGCGTCTGCGATGTTTGCACTGGCGAGTGTGGATAACTTTGATGCAATAATCAGAAAAAAGACTGCATCGTTGCTAAACAAAGTGCGCGGCAGCGGCCACAGTGTGCTCAGTGAGATTGCCGACAGTGGGGACTGTCCACTGATTAGACAAATGATCGACAGGATGTCGATCTTTATGTCCTGCTTAATAATAAAGTATTAAGTAAAAATTATATTACTAACATAGATGTAAGTTTTTCTCTACTAACAAATTCAATGGATCTTGTTGTCCGAAATAAACAATTTTTATTTTTATTGTTTATTTATTTATTTATTTATTAATCACGCACAAAATTTCATTAAAATCTGTTCCGATATTTAAGAGTTCAGTCACATACACATGAACACAAGAATCATATTTATAAAAATGACACGAAGTCGCATATTGGCGTCGGTCTGTGTATTCTCGAGAAAGGTTTCCGTTTATAATATACGCAACGTAAGAATAAGAGGAAAACGTTAGCGTTTTGTGTCAGGCGTGGATCAAGGGTCATGGCAGTCAACTAAATATTACTAATTATAAATATTTGTGGTGTTTTAAAGTATAATTTTGGTAATTACTCAAATCTTAATCATAGTTTGCAAAGGGCTATTTTTGCAAACGCCACTTTAGGAATACAAAACTTATTCGAGCCATGAAATCTCCTTGAAGACGTTCAGCAATTCCTTGCCATTTCTGACGAGCTGACGACCTTGGTGTGCCGTGATATTTAGAACTGTGTGTGCGGAACCTTTGGACATACTACAAACAACTACAAAAAACTACAAACTACTATAAACAAGTACTAGTTTTGGGCACAAAAAACCAAATAAAAACTATTTTAGACAGCGAGGATACGATTAAAATAGAAGATGAAACCTTGAAACAAGTAAGATCCGCTCGTAATTTAGGGCTTATACTAGACGGAGAGCAGAAATTTGTAGAACACATCAATAACAAGATAAGAAGTTCGTACTTTAAACTTAAAACATTATACAAAATAAGACCGTATATCAAAGAGGACCTACGCTTTCTTTTGTGTGACTCATTGGTGTTATCACAATTGAGCTACTGCAGCTCAGTCTTTGGCCCTAAATTGTCAGCTAATACCGAAAGAGCAATACAGAGAGTACAAAATGCATGTGTTCGATACTGTTGTAATGTACCAAGAAGACAATTTATAACCCCATACTTAAATAAAAAAGGCATACTCAATATGGGCGCCAGGAGAGAATTACACTATGCTTCGATAGTCCAAAAGGTAATTTGGAACAAAAAACCAGAATACCTTTTCGAAAAACTCACCTGGATCAAAGATATTTCCTGTCGAAGTATTCGTTCTCACACACAAATGCTCCTTCACACACCCGCACACAAAACAGCAAGATATAGGAGTTGTTTCAAATTCACTGCAGCGAGAATTTGGAATGACCTCCCTCCACCCATGAGAAAGAAAATGTCAATAGATTGCTTCAAAGCCAAATATAAAAAGGCTCTGTTAAAAAGACAACTCGCTGCAGAGAATTTGAAACATCCCTATGTTAAGTTATTACATTTACGGGACTTTTTTGCCAAAAATTAATAAGGACACACACACACACACATACACACACACACACACACACACACACACACACACACACACACACACACACATATATATATATATATATATATATATTTTTTTTTTAAATCTGTTGTAGTTCATTTCGTAATGGTTGTTTTTATGCATATTTTTTAAATGCTTATATTTTGTCTTTAATGTTTTTAATTTTTTCTTTTTTTTTTTTTTGTATTTACGTTTTTATCACATTTTATTACTTTGTACGTAGTTTAAAAGTATAAGTTAGGTAAATGGGGAGCCTGCTACTTTGGACTCCCGCACAACACCTCAGGGAGGAGGGAGCGGCTGAAAAACAGCTCTGTGATGAGATATGTATCTCGTTACAGACAAAGCTGAGCCGTCTCCTTTTGTCTCAAATAGTTATAATGTTCTTTTGTTTTGGCGTGTCTGTAACTGTTTTGTTTTTAGGGGCAATAAACAATTATTATTATTATTATTATTATTATTATATTAGTACTAGTAAAATTCTGTGGCACAGTATTCTGTTTTATCTGTTTTGGGGGGATTCTTCCTAGGAAGCATTGCGAGGAAATCAACCTATAGCTCAAAACAGATGCATCTATGTTCATAGCATGAGGTTTAATTAGACTCTAATCTTACATTATGATAAAAAATGACATGGCGAGAATTTTCGAGAAACTAATCTCTGATCCCCTACAATTGTAACTACGCTATTCTAAGCCTGGGCAACAGCACTAGCTACTTTTAACTTTTAAAATATATACCAGAAACTGCTATCAAAGATATTACGTCAATTTCATATCGTGATATCTCATCATGACAGTGCACTTTGAGAATACGTCAAACGCAATACTAGAGTCCGGTTTTACTAGCGTTTGAGCGAAGCATTGACCGATTACATCAACCGATGGTTGTACGGTTGTACACTATCAGTTTCGACCGCTAAACTGTTTGCTTCGTCTTTCGTAATGCTTACAACTAACCAGTTGAATAATATGCCAGCATCTGTCTTTCCGTCCGAATACTATCTGGG